CGGATGAAGAAACCACTTGCTTGAAATCTGCTAAGAAAACAGCAATCGTTCGGCAAGTTCAGTTCCAGATCTTTCCTATTCTTCAAGACGCTGAGAAGAGTGCGGTCACCATTCTCCGTGACAGTCTCTTCGAACGACGCACGCAAAGCTCAAAACTTGCCAACACGCCACAACCTCAAACTGAATAGGGCCACCTTGGGCAAAAGCTTGCCCTGCTGTGCTGCAGCTATTAACACGATCTGCCTGAGGGTTGTAGTGGCCTGCGTGTCCAGTAAGGACGAGCGGCTCAAAATCTAGAGAAGGCTGACGACGCGAAGGGAGAACCCGGATTTGGGTCATCGTCATGTCGAGTTCCATAGCTCCGAGATTGTTCTTGGACCTCAACGGATGTGAAAACTCGGGCCATGCACTTCTTTCGCAGCCGCGGAGCGCGAAAATTGCAAGGTCTGTCGGCTCCTAAAACTGCTGAGCTCCGCATCAGCGGAACTCGAACACAAGTTGGAAGCCTTCAGGAAAAACGCCTGTTGAAATCGACCTCGGGCAGTGGATGCATCTCGCAAGAACAGGATCCACGGGGCAGGCCGTAAAGATGATGTCTCAACTTTCAATTCTGAACCCGGCACCCCAATCAAATAAACCAATCCTCCAACATTGAGACATGGATCAACGGCGAACAAGCTGTGAGCCCATGAACCCGTAGCCCTGAACCAAATCCTAAAGCCTGAAAACAGACAAGCTGCGCACCTCTGCCTTACATCCTGAACCCAGAACTCCAGCGTCGAAAGCCCAAGTTACTTCACCGGCCGTTGGATCTCGGCCATCACCTGCGCCGAGAGCCCCTCCTGTGGCCAAGGCCGTTTGGGGTTGCAAAGAGGGTGTGGTGACTGTGTAGTGTTGTACGACACAGGGATGACGGTTGAGGTCTTACGTTTTCGGGTTCCGGAGCCTTTGCACAGTGCGCACCTCAAGTTACAAGAACTGTCGCATCCATCCTGAGAGGTTGAGTTTCTGAAGCTCGCATGCAAAAATTTCTCCATGTCAGGCTGCTGCTCAGATGCTCCTCAACCCCCAAGCCGTGAAAAAGGAGCAAAAACTTTAATGACACCACTAACGGTCGACTTACGACGACGAGAAAATCGCAATATATAAACCAAAAAGCACAAACAACTTGAGCACCGTTCCTCGTAGAAAGTGATGTCAGATACGACAAGTACAGTGTTTGCACCGAAACAACAAGCAAGATGCGACCCCGGCGGCGAGTACTCGTACCATGACTACCAACGCTGGCCAAACCCTGAGTGCCAAAGCCCTCAATCCTGAACCCCAAACCCTTGAGGCCTTCTCTTTGACCCCTGGCTCAAACGTCGCTTGCCAGGTGTGCCGGGAGCCTGGCTGGGGCAGAAGCAGGTCTTCCGAAGATCTCCGATTTGAAGGTTGTACGGCTTCAAACATTTAAAGTTCAGGGATTCGGCATCAACTTAGGGGCCGGGGATCCGTAAGGCTGATGCTTCGGAAGCCGGGCTGAAGATTTGTTTGCCTCGAGCTCAAGCTGAACCTTCTGGCTGGCGGCTGGCGGCTGGCCGCAGCATCATCAGGTTTTAAGCTTTCGGGTTAGTGCGCTGGCGGCCTTTGGCGCATCTGCTACCTTCGCGGGGACGACCTTCTCGACTTCCTTCTCCTGCAGCTGTCGGCAGGACTGAAGCACCGAAGCCTCACAGCAATCCTCTACAGCGTTCAGGTACGAAGCCTGAAAGCTCCCGGCCCTGAATTCTGTCAGCAAGTGTTAGCTTCAGGCAGAGCTGGCTTCCATGTTCGTTGGTAGCGACTGCGATTCGCTTCAAATCAGCCAGCCAATCCCTTGCCCCAGAGTTTGATTACCATCTGAGCGCGTCAGGAAAAACTGCATACGTAATGAGTTTATGTGATACAAACCCCCAGAATATACCCAGCTCCAGAACCCGAAGCCCTTGAAGAAGCTAGCCGACGACTTGTCCTCCACCATCATGCTTGCGGGGACCTGTGGGCATGTGAGAGCTGACTCTGACTCGGTGGCACATCACAATCTGGCCTCCTGAGCAAAGCCCGACACATGCTGTTGTTTTCACATCCTGACTACAGAAACACACAAGCTCCTCAAACTGACCACCACCTCCCCAAAAACCTGCACAAAACTATCAACCGCAACTTCAAAGGGTCAAAGGCAGACCTTGGCGAAGCCCACGCCGGCCCCTTTGAAGGACTCCTCTGTCTCTTGGGCCTTCATCTCCTGAACTTCATGTCAGTTGTTCTTGCAACTGAAAGCTTTTTAACTCAGAGCTTCTCACTTCTGACCCTCTGGAATGGGGACAGAAATTCCTGTCAAAACTACAGCCCTCAAGGGCCCTAAAGCTTCGACTGTCAATCGGCCAGCCTTAGCCTTCTTGCGCTCCTCTTCCTCCTCGCAGCTCGTGGGGTACGGTTTCAAGCTGTCCGGTGTTCGTTAACTTGTTGAAGTTCAACGCAGCCGAAGCCACTCCGGTCGTGTTGCGATGTGTTACTCGCAAACGGCTTTGTCACCATGCGCAACATTCCCCAATCTAGATCACCCTGAGAGTCTGAACCGACACGACATGCATTGATCTTTATCTGTCTGTCCTGCGCGTTCCGGACCTACCGACTACCGCGCGACTCGTTCTCGTCATCATCGTCATCATCATCAATAGCAAGACAACCGCATCGGCGCCGTCGCCAGCAACATCATGATCATCATCAGCTGCAGGATATGCATCGTCAGCACCGCCAGCATCAGCAATTACATTAGCTGCATCGTCATCATCATCATCAGCAGCATCATCATGGCCGCCACCACTATCGCCGCTGTTGCTGCTGCTGCTGCTGCTGCTGCTGTTCCTGTTCCTCCTCCTCCTCCTCCTACTCCTACGCCTGCTCTTACTGATGTTACGACTATACCACGACTGCTTCTACTTCTACTTCTACTTCTACTTCTACTACTTCTACTACTACTACTACTACTACTACTACTACTACTACTACTACTACTACTACTACTACAACTGCCACTGCTACTGCCACTGCCACTGTCACTGCTACTGCTACCACTACTCCTCCTCCTCCTCCTCGTCCTCCTCCTCCTCCCCCTCCTACTACTACTACTACCACCACGACTACTACCACGACGACGATGCTGCTACCGCTACTACTGCCACTGCTGCTACACTACTACTCAAACTACTACTCACACTACTGTTTGAGTACTGAAACTGGTACTATCAATACCCGTACTGCCTGTACTACAAGTACCACTAGCTAGTAACCTAGTAGCACTACTAGCACTCTCTCTCTCTCTCTCTCGATGCGCAAACATCCGAAGACGTCTTTGCGTGGCCCCTTTGGGCGACCTAGAAGGCCGGCTATCCCTTGGACAGCTGAACCAGGGCGAACGAGCAAGCATCCAAGCTTGATTAAACTACATTAACAGGTAGCAATGGAGGCACCCGGACCGTTAGTCCCAAGCGGTGCTCCTGCGCTTCTGTACATTGCGAAGCGGCGAGCCGGACGCAGCGCAAGCTACCACAGCTTCTTGCCCGATAGGCACTTTGTATATTGCATCGTCAGACTCCAGCGAAACATATTGGCGACTTGTCAGGCGTAGTGCAGTGGGGTATGTACCTCCATCGCAGTGGTAGCGGAGCAGAGTGCAGGACTGTATCCATATGCAAATCTGTCATCGCTCATTTTGTCATCTGCTTTCCCCAGCAGTCATGCGCCATCATTTGGCTCATTCGTATGGATCACTTGTGGCATGATCCTGTGATAGCAGCTTGAAGCCCTGCCGTGTCAGAAAGTCCGCATTTTCAGAACTCAATCGCCACTCGTCCCTTATGTGATATGCTCCCAGAATAAATCTGTCCCCAAACCAGGGCAATACTGCATGCCGCAGTCTGGAGTTAAAGCAGACACATGGAGGAGTGATAGCATGAAGCTGACCTGCGGGGCCTTCCGGGTGCAGTCTGGAAGAGCCATCTGGGTCCTCGCACCATAGTTCTCCGCCACTCCAGACGCTGAGAGGTATCAGAGTGTTGTGTATCGAGGTATGGTTGTGGGGGTCCACGTGAGGCTCACTAGGAACGTTCAAATGGAGAAAAACATTGCTGAATAAAGCATTCGGACTGAGGGCCTGAACCACATGACATAGGAGCCGAGTCGTCCATAGTTCACTTCGGGTCGTCAGCTGAACCGACGCTACCCCTCCGAATATGCTGGCACCAAAGGTCATTGAACGCGGCTCTTTCCCAGTATCTAAGTTCTCCGAGACATACCGTTCATGCTTTTTGGTGGGCAGCAATTCAAACAAGCGACGCAGCAGCGAGAATCGAACAAACCCCATGCGCATACAGCCCTGAGCCAGGGCTTCAGAGGCCGTGGTCGGCACTGGGTCATTCCAGTCCCAATCCTGCGTGCTCCAGATCACTACACCTGCATGAGCATCTCCCGAATACAGACTGAGGGCCGATTCCGCCGAAAGAGCCTGTTGCTGTGTCACTTGCTTGGTCAACGCTGTAAGTTGCACTGGCCAGTCCTCCGCACGATAACGCTTGCTCTTAGTATGAGCCTTCACACTTTTATCGGCCATCGAGCGCTTGGTTGTACTGGGACCCGACTGGCCTAGAGTGGCTGTCATCGGAGGCTCCTCAGCATCAGCGATTATCTCCAGAGTTCCCACTGCTTCTGGCCCATTCATCGAGCTCCCTGTGTTGAGCAACTGAGGGAGCTAACTGAGCAGAGCAGGAAAAAGCTGCCTTCAATCACTGAGGGTGTTGCATCCATCACATTATTGATCTCTCGCTGCAATCTGTAAGCTGTATGCTTGCACTCGCACTGACATGCTGAAATGTGCTGTAGAAGAAAGCATGCGCGAGAAGGGCACAATCCATGACGAATCCGAGGCAGTGTCAGTGCGTGTTGAAGGTCCGGAGTCGGTCAGAGCGCACTCGCAGGATTTATAATGTTTTGCTGCAGTTGCGCTCCACGTTCCTGGGCACCGGCTTCTGCACCACCCAGCATGCTAAGCGCACTATTCGAAGCTGCTCATTGGCCCTTGTAGGACGAGCACATGGATGCCCCGATAGGGCCTTGAAAAGAGGACCGTCAAAAAGAAGGGGGAACGTTGACAGTCCTCAGCATAGACAAAAGTGTCGTAGTGAGCTCCATCGTGCCACCTTGATGTTGGCGTCATACTCACTTCCTGGTTCTCGCGCCGCCTCTTGCACCGAATCCTGAGCTGGATGAGGCCGGGGTCTGAATGGTGCGCTGGACCTGATCGGCAAGCGTGGAACGGCCAGCTCGTTCAGGCCTCCATGCCATCGCCATGAGCTGGGTGATGGAGTTGCCGTTCAGCAGACTCATATGTTTGCGGAGCTGGATCGCGTCCTCATTGAACAGTGCCAGCTGCAAACTGAATGTGACATTGCTGCCTCGCATCTCCCTTCAATGGTCCGGCTCGGGTGAAACCGGGACACCGGCCCGATTTTCCCCACCAAAACTCTGATGGCCTCCACTGTAGCGATGCCCTGCGAGAAAGGCAAGGCCTCTTTCTCCGGATCCGTCTTGAGACGCTCAGCCTGCGGATCCCATCGGAGGTAGCACCAGTCTTTGGTCTCCGGCTTAATCCATCCAAGCTTCGTCATGTTGTCAATCGTGCCAGTCTGGGTTGGGAACTTTTCCAGGCGCGAGCAGAATTCTCGAAAGAGGCAGGAGAGGAGCACAACCCGCTTGGGCTTGTCAATCTTGGTAGCATCTTCCTCTTTCTGCTCACGCCACGCCTTTTGGGCTTGGAAGAGCGAGGGCACTATGGAGGCCGGGATGCCCATGCGCATGAAGATAACAAACGATGTCTCCGGTCGAATGCCTCCCAGATAATCTTCATGTCGAAGCGTCAGCTTTTGCAGCTGAAAAACGCTGTCCTTGAGCTGATCCAGCTCTTCCTGCAGCTCTTCCTTAGAGCGTTGTTGCCCCTGCTTCCCCCATGCTTCCCATCCACGCTTTGCTTTGCCCCAGCTAGCCCACGGATCATCATCCTCCTTTTCTTTGGCCTGCCCTTTGCCTCGTTGCTGGCCTTTGTTGCCATCCCCCATCCGGGGAGTAGGTTGGCCGCGAGCTGCCCCATCCGAGGCCTCCGAGGGTGCTGCCGTAGACGGAATTTCAGCCCCAACCCCGGCCGCGAAGTACTCACTGAACATCTCATCCTCAAGGTTCTCCAGAGTTCGTTCCATGTGAGCATCCGGTGTCTCCGCGGTGTCCGTCATTGCTGCACACTGGAGTATGTGGGCAGGCCGTGGAGGATTAGCAGCGCTTCAGCCAAACGACGTACACATTGGACTCATGCTCAGCAATAACCGTCACAGGCTGTGCAAAACAAGAATCGTCTGTGTACATCCATTGGGCTCCGACTTTGAGAAGAGCCCGGTAGTGGCCACTTTGCGTTGTCCTGCCAATGTGAATCACGGCTGCGATTGCTTCATATTGCTCCCAGACTGGGCGAACATGTTCAACGAAGCGAGGGAAAAGAAGAGGCCTGTCGAAGCGTATTGGCTGTAGGAGCTTGTGGCGCTCACCATACCTGACGAAGCGATTAATTTGAAGGCATATGCATTCACTGGGGTGGGCAAGCGCATGTATATCGCTGTATGTATTCCAGTGATGTACCACATCTTGTAGGTCCGTGGCATGTGGTGGGAGCGGCATGAGAATAGGCTCGTCTCCTTGGGCACGTAGCTGAAAGCCTGCCAGTCCAAGTCTTCTTGAATCCCAAACTGCAGAGTGTACCTCCTGTGCCTGGAGCAACTGCTGAGTGTATTCCGCCGTATCCTTCTGCACCTCGTCATATATCCATGCCGGCACAAGTCGACGAAATCTGAGGCTTTGCGTGAGCTTAAGAACAACACCTCTCTCCGCGGCCTTGTTCGCAAGCGTGATAGCAAACTGAAGACTCGGCATGTCATGTCCTGCACACTGTAGGGCATGTGTCATGGCCAAAAATCCAGCATTGATATAGCACAGCTGATGTGGGTTTGCGAGCTTCACTCTGCATTGCCAGGGACCTGCCGGAGGAGGCGCATCAGGAGGAGCAGCCGGTACTGGATTCGGGGCCCGACCTGCAGGCTTCGCGAAAAAGCATTTGATGTTGAGAGCGAGGTACTGACCGGGTAGAGGAGCTCGCCAGCATAGGCATCGCTCCAGCACCTGATATCGTGGGCATTGCCGTGGGAAGAGCTCTGGTACCCTGCAGCGCCTTCTGTATCGGAGCAACATAAGTCTTATACTGAGGATTTGACTTGTCCTGCTTGGGGGCTGATGGTTGTGTATAAGCCGCCTGTTTCGCCTCAAAATTAGTTTGATGTAGGTGTCTGACTGCCGCAATCTGAAAGAAGCTGGGACACTTGCGAGAGTGGGTCTTTGAATCCTTTGCCTGGCTTCCACAGAACTGACATGGCCGACGAAATATAGCTGTAAGGCTACCTGCAAGAGAATCCGCCGCGCGGTGTGCATGATCCCATGCTGCCGGGTGTCCTGTGCGCCAGTGTGTTTTCATGTGGCCTGGTTGAACTATGCGCTGATTACACAGAGCACATTGCCCCGCGTACTCCTTGATGATCTGGGAGAATTGGTCCAACTTGTGATCTGGGATCGTAAGTACTTCGTGTTGTTGCTGAAGCAGGGGCGCTCTGAGCGTCCAACCTGGAGCTGGAGGTTCTGGTGGATCAAGATGTTCCGCCTGCTCCGCTTCAGCAAGGATTTCCTCAATCGAGAGTCCGCGAGCAATAGACGCTTTAATAGCTGAGCACATACCTTGTGTAAGATGCTTGCGCATTGATTGCCAATCTGACATCCGACACCTGCAGAATCTACAGATTGGAGCTCCATGTAGACAGTGTTTGGCTCTGTCAAACTCGACGCGCGCCTGTTGCTCCAAAGTGGGATGAGCTCGGTGAATATGTTGATCCAGACCAGACTTAGTGCCGAAGTAAACCCCACACACCGGACAAGGCAGCTTCACACCGCTCGGGATGTTTTTCAGGAGCATGGAGTCTACACGTTGTGCACTGATTTCTTGGACACGAGCAAGTTGAAGTCGAAGTGAGTCGGCTCGACGGCACTCGTGAGCCTGAAGTCGCTCTGACCTGCATGTGTCCAGGGCCAGCGAGGTGCTCTGCGTTAGCATGCGGCACTCAAGATCATGTAGAATGTTGATGTCAGCTTGCTGCAGCACCTGCTGATTGGAGGCGCTCATGTATGCGAAGAACCTTGCGCATGTGGCGTGCAACGTTGCTTGAGAGAAGCTTCACAACCTCCACGGTGCATCCCACGCTGACTAGCCCATACAGAAGTGATGGTAGAACACACGCCTTGTACAGTCTAAGCCTGTTCCTTTGACTTAGGGGGCCATTGGTACCCAGCGGAGCCTTGAGCTGTTGGAAGACCATCTGGGCTTGCTGAACGCGGTGTTGTGCAGCTTGAACCTCGTAGCGACCGTAGCTGAGCTTGACACCCAGATACACCAGGTGAGTCTGAATAGGGATGTATATGGTTCCAGATCCACACGGAACAATCAGGCATTGTTGGCCATTCCAGAACTTGGTGCATCGTTTCCAGTGCTTCTGATGCAGCTTACCTTTGAGTTGTAACACCACACTCGACTTTGCACTATTGACCTGCATGCCAAGCGAAGTTATCAGCCCAACTAGGTCACCTAGCTGTCGTCTGGCCTTGTCCAGGTCCACAGCATTGAGGATTTTCCAGAAGCTGTGCTTGTCGTCCGCATAGATCGACAAGTGTTCCTGGGGCCAGCCATCGCCATGTCGATTTTCCAGCTTGTGGCTGAGTCGACACGTCCATGCAGCATATATCATGGGTGCCACACTGCATCCCTGCCTTAGCCCTCTGCCCATACGAACCGATTATGCACTATGGTGAGGCTGGTCTGCACATGGATTTGCAGAAGTATCCCCGCCAAGTTCGAAGGCATGCCAGTGTCTATCAAGGATTCATACATCTCCTGATGCGTTATGGAATCGAAGGCTTTGGAAAGGTCCAGACTGGCCATCAAACCTCCAACAAGCTGAGTTTCGGATTGCCCAGAGAGCCTTGAGACCAGATCGTCCCGGCTTGATTCCAGGAGGCAGCGAACTTCTTCACAGTGCATGCTGGCTCGTAAAAGAGGGTCTGCTGTTGAAGCCTTCGCTCGGTAGGCATACTGCGGCACTGATTGTAGAGCAGATTGCACATATGGATCAGCGTGACGTTTTATGATCTGTAAGAACGCCTTCGTGTCTGCACCCATCAATCCAATAGTGCATAGATTGGCTGGGGAGGTGGGACTCTTATTGGGCTTAGGGATCCAAACTAATTGAACCAGGGTCCAGTTGGCTGGTACGTTGGGAGGGCTGTTACACACAGTCTCACAGGCAATGCAATTCGCTCAAGAATCGGGGAGACAGCTTCTGAAGACTGCTTCCAGGCCATAATGGAGGCTTCATCCTTGGGAACAGCTTTGTGATTTGCGAGCTGCTGAAAAGCCCACTGCCAATGCTCCTTTGCAAACCATTCCGACGGAAGAGGTTCCCAGTCAGGAGCTTCGTAGGTGGGGCCTGTGAAAAGTCCCTGGGCGTATTGCTTGAGCATAAGGCACTCCTGCTCAGGATCCATTAGATTGCCTTCCGGGTCACGCAGGCTGATCTTGCCAGTGTGCTTTTTAGGGGCTAGCATGCGCACGTACTGATAGTGAGTGCGCGTATGATTGCATGAGGCGGCTTCCTCCGCCTGCTGTAGGACCTGAAGTATTTGCTCCCTCTTCCTAGTCCTTGCAATTCTGCGTAGCTCCCTGTGTGCACGTCGCTTGAGCAGCGCCAGTTGCCAGGCACCGAATAGCCTTCTTAGCCGACTCCTATGAAGCCTAAGTCTTTCCCGAGAAAGCTGACCCCAAACCTCAAGAACCTCCTGACGCATAGTACGCATGGGGGGCTTATCCGGTTCAAGGATCGGGACTTCATATTGTTGCTTCATAGCAGCTTGTAGGGCTGGGAGCGGCGGCCGCTGCATTTGTGCCAGATTCTCCAGCGTAGGTGCAATCTGTGCCCGAGGCTGCTTTGGCAGCGCAGTCTGCTGCCATGGTCGCCACGAGAGTCTTAGACTAGCAACCATGATCTCATGCCCAGAAGAGCGCCAGCCCGCAACCGGAGCTTTTTCCGGCCCACAGAGTTTTGCCTGCTTGTCAGCAAGTGGTTGTCTGACCCCTATGTAGTCAATCTGCGAGTTGCCGCTAGGATGCTTGTATGTATATTGCTTTTTGCTCCAGGTATTCAGGGCAGCGAGCCTGTGGCGTTCCAGAATTTGCAGGAGCTCAATGCGCTCCTGCTTCTGATCCAGGTGTTGCGCTCCAGTGTGTATGCCGTGGCCTGCAACTTTACCATAAGGGTGAAGCACCAGATTGAAGTCTCCCATCAGAAGTGTGGACGTGCGATATGGAAGTGAGGCAAGAGTCTTGTCCAGCTGCTCCCATACCAGCTTGCGCCTCTGCATAACAGCAAGCTTTTGCTCCTCTGTGTGGTAGGACATCGCCTGCTGATACAGATTGAGGACATCAAACTGTTGTTTATGCAGTTGTCCGAGCCTGTGGATCAGACGTCCTGGCACAATGGTTGCCCAGCTATGGCTGTTTGCAGCTAGCACGTTCTTTCTGATCCCAAGTAGCACTCCGCCCTGTTTAGGCTTGGGTGCCGAGCTATGCATGATGTACCATTCATCCGTATACCATTCTGAGGTCATAGACCAATGTGTCTCTTGCAGAGCAAAGATCAATATCTCGGGTCTACCTCGCAGCCATGTTTGTACCTCTAGGAATAGCTCCTGCGACAAGCCCGAACAGCTCCATGAAGCTATTTCCACTCGCGGCCATTGCTTGCGATTGTCCTTGACTTCAGGGCAGGACGATATATCTCTGGAACTCCAGTGCCTAATCGCCTGCCTTTGTAGACAGCGGATCCCAGCTGCTCTGCTCTTTTTAGCGCACGTCTATAGGATCTTTTCCCAACTCTCGTCGCCGCTCTTCGTTCTTTGGGCGCTCCATCCTCATACTTAGTCCCCGAAGGAACTCCAGTGGGGGCTGAGGCACCACCCACAACCCGCGTGCCTAGCAGTGCTTTGGGTGAAGATGTTGTCATCGTAGGTACTGCTATCCGGACTTGGGACCGGGAACGAGCGTATCCTCCAGACTCGTCGTCTTCAATTGCTCAGTGGTAGCGGAGGTTATCTTTTGGGCAGCTCTGAATAACGCAGAATCACTTCCATGCGCAAGCACTACAGAAGCAGGGTTATCTTGCGTTTTGGGGCCGTTCTAGAGAGCCTTTACCGTTCGGAAGAGGATCTCCAGCCTGGGCATGCCGCCACTTCTCCACAGCCTGAACCGCTCGTGGCACTTACTACTAGCACTACCGCAACTACTACGACGACGATGACTCCTCCTCCTCCTCCTCCTTTTCCTGAAACTAATACTGCTACTTCTGCTAGGACGAGGACGAGGACGGCGAGTGAAACCACGACTCCGACCGAATGACTATGACTGCAAAGTACTGTTCCTCCTCCTGATGCTGCTGCTGCTCCTCCTCCTGCAGCTACACCTAGCATCATATCATTATCAACAACAGCCGCAACACCAGCAGCAGCCGCAGCTGCAGCAGCTGCACATCACCATCACCATCACCATCATCATCACCTTAGCATCATCATCATCCTCATCTCATCATCATCGTCGCCAGCATCATCATCATCATCATCATCATCATCAACAACAACAACAGCAACAGCAGCACCAGCATCATCATCAACATCACCGTCACCTCCATGAAAAACATATATTATACATATATATATATATATATATATATATATATGACATACACTCACATGCTTCTCTCGCTCTCTCTCTCTCTCTTCCGGGTAGGAGAGAAGGGCAGCATCCAGGCCCTTCTCCCGTGCGGTCCGCACACCCGCATCGCTTGGCGGGAAAGCTATCCCCCCAGGGTATGTTTCCCCAGAGGGCTCGGCTGTGCGAAAGCAACAAGTTTCCCCCTGCATGGTTTATTGCAAGGGGAGCAGTACTAGGGGCTGTTTGCCACCTGCTTGCAACCTCGGCGAAAAAACTGCGCGTTCCCCCAGGAACGGCTCGAACTCAGCGAACTAACGAACAAGAAGTCAACGGACTACGCAGTTCTCCCCCATTTATGCTCTACGGACAGGAGCATGTGAAAAGTGAAAGGTGAAAGACTGAGGTCCCGGCCGAGTGCGAAAAGTTCCGTAACGCAAGCAAAGCACACTCACGCTCAAACTGACATGACGCATCGCACTGGCATGGCCTCCCCCGGTTTACACTCAGACGTCTCCGTGCGACTTGTCGTAGCGCTCACTCCCCCGTCTGCCACTGTTCTTCTTGCGCTTGAGTGGTGGCTTGTCAGGCGCGGCACCTGCTGGGTGCTGTCTCTCCCCCGCCACTGCACGTTGTTCGTGGGTGTCCGCTTCCATGGCCACGCGGAGGAACTGACTAGCGATGCCAGGTTGTCCTCGACCTTTGGGGACTGGTTTCCCCGAGCCTGTCGGCTTAGTAACCCGAAGACTTCGCGCTTGGTGTGAGTGGCTCTTACCTTGCACGACAAACTGCTTAGTCTTCTTGGACTCCCTGATCTTCTTCGCAAGGTTTTCCCCCGCTTTTGCACTGGTGCTATCCACGTTGGTGGGCGCGTTCTCCTCCACGACCACAGTTGCCTCCCCGGCCTCTTCGTTGATGTCTTGGAGGACCCGGGAGTACAGTTGCTCTGCCGCTGTTTCCTCCTCGCTGCCATGCTTGTTCCCCACAGGCGTGGGGTCCGTACCAGAGCCATCGGCAGCTTGGGCGCGGTCTTCCCCCACAGCAACTCCACAGATTTTCTTGAGGTCGGTCTTGGAAACACCGCCGAAGACGGTCTCTATGGCCGCTCGAGTGGGCCAGACAGTCTCCCCCGCCTCTTCCGCGGACTCATCGTCAAGGGATCCATGTAAGTCCCCCGCCGGGCTGGTAGGGCTGCGCACCGCTGGAGCAGGTAATTCAGGTGTAGAAGGTGCCATTTCCCCCGCAGGGTCATTCCAGTCTGGCTCCGGTGTTCTTGGAGCTACATCCTGGGCCGGGTCTGTCCAGTTAGGCGCCTCGTCCTCTCCTTCACTTACTTCTCCCCCGTCGCGGGCATGTTCCAGGGGCCGAGGGGGCGGGGCAACTGGCAAGGTGCCACTGCCTCTCCCCCGGCCAGTGCTCTGCAGGACGTGGTTCACTTCGGCGAAGGTCAAACCTAGCTCTCTCTGGAACCGAATTTTACATGCCGTATGGAGGTCCGTGGCAAGGAACGGGTTGTCCGTGAGTTGGTTCACGATCTGTTCCCGTATGTCTTCCCCGTCAAACACTTTGAGCATCATCATAATCTCATAGGCGAAGTTGGCCATTCTGTTGAGCAACTCTGCACTTTGCTCTTCCCCCAACTGTCTCATAGCGGCGTAGTTGGCGGTCTCCCCCGGAGCGTGTAGCATTCCCGCAGCCTTGTCCCACCACAGTCGTTGTCCAAGGAGAGGCTGGTAACGGTTGGTCACCCAAGTGCGCGCTGCGCGCCTCTGTTGGTGGTTTCCCCAGAGTGGGTCAGCACCCGGCTCGCCGCTTTCACTTGTTGAGCTTGTATGCTCTTCCTCGTCATCATCGTCGGTGTCGCTCTCTGGTGCTCCCCCAGCTGTAGATGGAGGACCGGCAGCTGAGCTGGCGCCGTGAGGGAGCTCCCCCGCTGGTGGAGGTCTTGCGGAGCTGGCGCTGAGAGAAAGCTCCCCCGCTGTTGGAGGCTTTCGGCGCCCTTGTGGTACCCCGAAGTATTTGCAGCCAGGGGCCAGTCGGTTGTGAGCAACATGGCGGCCCAAGTTGCCGCTGTTACATACGTAACACTGCTCTTCCTCTGGCTGCGCCATCGCTACTCGTCGGGCTGCGTCTCGAGGTGCTGGCTGCGGGTGCGCAGGCGACTTTCGCTGCACAACAAGAGTAAGAAGGCAATGCTCACCGCAAAAACGAACTGACAGGTGCTCTTCTCCCTCCGTGGCTTCTCTCTGTGATTCAGGAGTGTGCAAGCTGGTGGCGAAAAATGGAACGAAAGCTTCTCGGGCTCATTGGGATTGGTTGTATGACTTGTGCACGGTGTGTTGGCTGCATCTCCGGTGGTGTGGAGTGGGTTGTGTGTTGCTCCCCCCTGCATGTTGTCGCCCCCATCCCCCCCTTTTTGTTGATGTTGGAGACCACAGTTTCTCCGACAGGGTCATCATTCAACTGTAAGTCGCCGTGTGGGCGGGCCGCGTCTCCCATTGGGTAGGAGGTTGTCTTGTATTGCTTGTTGCTTCCCAGTGGCCCATGGCACGTCGAACCGGCTCACGAAAGCTTGGGTGAGGTTCTGCCATTTGAGTCGGTCATGTGCGATCTCCCCCCAGTGTGTACCTGCAATGGCCTCAATCGCTCGCTCTACATCTGCTTCTGGGTTGAAGTGGCCCACGTGAGTAACCCTCGCCTTTCGCGGTTTGCTTTGTTGTTCCCGCCAGTAGGCTAGGTTTTTCCAGGTAACCATCGCGTTGACTTCCTCCCCTCCACGGGCCATGTGTCCCCACAGTGTCCAGATGCGTCGTAGTATGTAGGTTGACCATCTCTCCCCCCCATACGATGCAGGTGTACTCTGGCTGCTCGTAGACTTCGGGTGTGCCAGCTGGCCCACGCTTCTGTGGGTTGTCGGTGCAGGCAAAGCATCCCCCGCAAGTGCTGCATCTGGAGCGAGTTAGCTGCTTTGAGGAGTCGGTGGTGCACAGGCCACGTCTCGGCAGCATAGAGTGCTGAGTTGCGGACCAAGGTGGTGTATGCAGTCCACCTGGTGTTGATGTGTGTGCGGGCCATGAGGATTTTCTTGTGCTTGGCAAAGGCCTGTCTTCCACGGCGGCTCATTTCTGCAATCAGTGGCGCGGTTTGTTCCCCGAAGGTGACGGGAGAGCCTAGCCTTGTGTGGGGCGCATTCCACGGTCTCGCCTCCAATGCTAAACCCCCCCCCCCGGTTGGCTGGCTGTAGAGTATGGCTGTTTTGGTAGGATGGATTTTGAGGCCATCTGTTGCGAGGGAGGTCAGCGTCCTTTGGAGGTGGTCTCGGTCTTGGGACCAGAGGTAAGTGTCGTCCAAGAACGATCCCCCGGTTCTTGGAGGTGGCGGTCCGCCTTTGGCGTCTGGTGGTTGTTCCCCCGCTGCTGCAATAGCGGTTTGGAGGTCGCGTGCCACAATGGCTCCAAAGAGGTCCGGAGAGTCAGGGGACCCTTGTCGAATGCCGTTGGTTTGTGGGGGGTGTGATGCTGTCCCCCACCGCAATGTTGAGTGAGCGTGTGTGTAGAGCATCGCCTCCCATGGCATCCCCCCGCCGTCCGTAGGCACAGGGCATCTTGCAGACGGGACACCCCCCACTCTGGCAGCAACGAGCTCGCTGAGACTATGTTGCCAGACAGAGTCAAACGCCTTGCGGATGTCCAATTTAACGAGCCACATCCCCACCCCCCAGTCACGTGCCATCTGTATTACGCGGCGAATTGTTGCGATGAGTTCCACCCCTTGTCTGCCTTTGCGCGCCCATTGCAGGAAGGCGCCCGATCTCAGCAAGTCCCCCCCTCTGGCAAGCAGTAATTGCGCTAACCACTTGAGCAAGGTTGAGCTTAGTGTGATGGGTCTAGTTTCCCCCCAGTGGAGTGGCTGTGGAATTTTTGGCAAGAGCACGGTTATCCCCCTATCCACGCTTTCCGGGACCTTCGCAACATAGAAGATGTCATTGAGGACATAGAGGATTTTGTCCCCCCAGTAAGGGTCAGCCAGGAGCGCACGGGCAGCTTCATGGGAAATACCGTCAGGCCCTGTGCTCTTGTTCTTTGCCCAGGTTGCTGATGTATGTTCAAGCTCGTGGCGTTGGAAAGGCTGCCAAGGTGTGATCTTGCACTTCCCCCGGAGTTGGTGTTGTAAGGCGAGGATGCGTGCAGTAGAATGGACTGGCTGTGGCTTTGCGAAGATACCTCGCATGTGCTTGCTGAGTTCTTGCTGCCACTGCCCATCATCTTGTAGGTGTAGGTGCCATCCCTTTTTTGTGCTTGCCTGGTGAAGAGACCTCATGGCTTTCCAGTCGAGGGTTGCTGCAAGGGTGGCTTGTCTGGTTTCCCACGCTCGTCGCTCTTGTTTGCGTTGCTTGTGGACTTGCTTCCAGAGCGCTCGGGAGGCTCCCCCGGGCTGCGAGTGTTGTGCTTGCCGCCTGAGTTGTTTGAGCGCCACGCTCTCCACAAAGCGGTTGCATCCCCCCCCTGGTGTTGTAATAGCCTTGGAAATGGCGGCCAGTGTGTGGCATGGGTCGTCGCCTGTTGGGGCGGGCACCTGGAGGAGTTGAGAAACCTGGCTGTCAGGTCGCAGCTTGCGTGGTCCCCATGTGGATTGTACAGCCCCTCCTCCTTTGTGTGCGACGACAGGGACCTTCACGGCGTCATGGTCCGAGGCTGCCCTATCCTTGCAAGAACACACAGAGCCACCTCCTACACCTCCCCCACGCACGATGATGTAGTCGAGGCGTCGGGGTTGCATCAAGTGGTTGTAAGGAAAGTACGTGGGGATGTCAAGTTGTTGTGGTGGTAGTGTAAAATCCTGCTGCGACATCCACTGTTGGATGGCGTCCCCTCTGCCTGTTTGTGGGGTCCCCCCGGGTAGATTGGGGTGGCGCGTGGTGAAGGTCTCGTTGGCGTCAAAGCCGATATAGGCTTTCCCGGGTCCACTCAGTTGGTCCCCCCAGTCCTCGAGTATTTGCTCGGTGTGTGCAATGGTGGCATGGTGCGGGATGTGTCCTGCCAGGACTCGACATGTTTTGGTGGTGAGTTTGTTTTTGAGTGTTGTGGCCACCCCTGCTGTTACAACTGCACTGTAGTGATGAGTGAAGAGCTGGGAGAGATGTGCAACCCCTTCCCCCCTGAACTCTCCTTCTTGTTTGCCAAAAACGATCTGCCAATGCTCGGATTCTTCGTGAAACAAGCCAGGCTGTGTAATGATTTCTTGCGCAAGGACCACGTCAGCGCATGCCAGTTCTGCATTCCCCCGGAAGTTTTCGAGGATGTCCAGCATCTTTTGGGCCGAGACACCGCCGACATTCCAAGAAAATATCCAAAGTTGGTTGCCGACTGTATTCCTCCCGGCACGGAGGTGAGACAAAGGCTTGCTGGCTGTAAGGCTGCCAGTGCTCGCTTGGTCGGGTGTGATTCCCCCCCCGACCAGGGGATGAAACTGAATCTCTCCGAAGTCGTCTCAGTTGAGCTCCGCCTTAAGCGGGCCCCACACTTTGTCGACCTCTTCACGTGTGTGTCGGGTGGCCTTGGCGATCGCGTCCAGGTCGATCCACCCCGGGCCGGCTTCTTCTGTCCCCCGTGGCTGCTGAGCGGTAGCGGAGCTCACTTTGACTGCGTCCACCCAGGAACTTCCGGTGCTGAACTCGGTTTGTAAGAGGGCTTTATCCCCCCCAAGTGTGAGGTAAAGCCGCTTGGCTTTCGCAGCAAGGCGGGCTCGTCTGCGGCGATCCGGCGGCTGGGACATAGCGATCCAGACTCGCTTTGTGGATCCATCCGGCCGTGCTCCTAGGCATACGTTGGCTCCCCGGACCTTGGTGATAATCTCTTGTACTCGTTGGCGTCGTTGTTCAGCGTGCTCCCCGGGTCTATCATCGATAGGAAGGATGGCGTATCCCCTCCGAACACCCGGAACAAACATAGCTTGCAGGTCGATCGGTGCGTCCACCGCATTGAGCAGGTCCGAGACAGCCTCCTTCGTAGTGGCTGCATCTTGGTCGGCTTCCCAGCCTCCAATCACCAGCGCTGGTCGGCGTCCAGGTTCAGAAGGAAGGACTGTACTCCCCGCGGTGGAGCTCCCCCCTCCGTGCTTCTCCAACTGCTCCAGGCGGTAAGTGACTTCTCGGTTCGGATTCGCGTCTTGTAACTGTTGCAGAACTTCCCCGTGTGCTGTATGTTTGCCAGACACTTCGTCAAGGAGGTTGACAGTTTGCTGCATTTGGGTGGTAACTTGGTGCTCGACCTTGTCGATTCGACGGCCAAATCCCCACAGCTCTTGCTTGAACTCCGACATGGCATCTTGGAGCTCCCCTCGGACGGCTTCACGAATAACGTCAATGGTTAGTGCCGCATTCTCCGCGTCTGGTACTTTGCGCTTTGGGGCTCCAGCTGGTCCCCCAAGCCGGTCGACAGCCATGCTTTGTGTTGTTGCACTGCTTTGCGTGGCCATGGTCCCCCAAGGAGATCACTAGGTTCGCGGTCTGCAAGTAGATATCACGTTCTCCCCCGCAATGGGCTTGATCTCCCAGCCTCGTTGGACCAGTCCTAGTGTACGTGCGGGTAGTACACCTGTAGGGCCGCCAAGCCGGTGTGGTAGTTGAAGTCAAGCTCCCCCGCACGCCTCGAAGAGGGATCACGTTGGGCTGCACTCTCGACGTACTCGCCCAGAACAACCCCCGCGATGTACAGCGCACACTTGCCGTCCCCCGTGTACAGCAATCGCGGCAGAAGAGAAAGGGAAAGGAGCAAGCCCTTGGTTGGGAGTGCAGGGTGGCCAGAGTGAGCAGAGGAGAGAAAGGAAAGAGAAAGGGGCGGAAGCCACCCCGTCACCCTTGAACCGCTCACGGCTTGAGCCAAAATGGCTACGAAGCTCGCTCTCTCTCTCTCTCTCTCTCTCTCTCTCTTTGCTTTCATCCTCCGTCAAGGTACCAGTGTCGATGAAATACCAATATCACTTCAATGGTCACCACATGCGACCGGTGTAGCAGCAGCAGCATCAGCAGCAGCAGCTACACTGGTAGCGGCACCACACTTGAACCCAAAACCCCTACACCCAAAACCCTGAATGAAAAAGTCGAGCGGAGCCCAGGGTCCGTCTGCAGGGTGCCATCCAGGTACTTGCGGTACTCCGGGAATTCCTGCTCAAAGGTTTGCGCATTTCGGATTGAAGTCTTGGGTTTCGGGTGTTCGGTTTCTGTGTCGGGGGTTAAGACTGGTTTGGGGCTGCAGCGTAGCTGAAGCATCTGGACGGGGCTTCCGTTTCTCGATGCATTGTCTAAGGGACAGTCTTCACAACTGCATTAGTCCCATGGTTCTACAGGTAGCTCGACTGCTTTGTCTGACTGTGTTGCCACATTTTCCCGAACAAGGCAGGCTTCCTGAGGCGATGTGTTCTGCAAACCTACCGGACACAAATGAAAAGATCTGCAATCCTGAGGCTTGGTACGATACTGCAACCCCGCTAGAAGGCTTGGTGACAGCGGCCTCGCCCAGCTGATTCTTAATGAAGAAGGTCTGGCCGTTGGTCACCAGATTGTTGCAAAGCCTTCAGAGGAGGAGCTTGTGCTCGCAAGCCGAGACTGGGACTAGGACTAGGGCTTTGGTTTTTGACGGGAGCTGCAGGGGTCAACATCGGATTTAGGGCTTCGGGTTTAGGGCTTCGGCCTCGGGGCTGCTGCGGGCTTAAGCGCGTTTCTGGATCATGCAGGGCGTATGGATCTGGGGTTCAGGACTTAGGACAGGAGCAGCAGTCTGATTCTGAGCATGTTGAATCTCCACGACCGGAACTTAGGCCCCGTCCAATAGATCCCGAGGCCCTGTGGGCTCACCAGGCTCGTGTAGCCGATCACCAGCCTCGGAAGCTTTCGGGCTTCTGTTTAGCTTCTGCGCCGTGGGCAGCGAAAACTCAGGTGGTGCTGCCATGAGCATGCAATGCCCTAAGCTTGGGGTTCAAAAGGCAGACAAACACCTGTGTCACTTCCATACACATTCGCTCGAGGCAAGTCGCGGGATGACGGCATTCACGATCTGTGCCGGACCACCCCTGGGTTGGAAGCTGACGGTTCAGGTCAAGGCCAACGGCGCTTAACGGCTTAACGCATGAAACCTTTCCCTGTGTGAAAGCATCTCAGAGGATGTGTCGGAGGCTTTGCAGCGTCTGACATGAATGCAAGTCATGGCACCAACGGCGACTGCCGATCCCTGCATTCTCGCACATAAGCAGCGGCGTGCTTGAAACAAAGTAAAGAAATTGAACTTCGTGACACTATTCTCGCGACGGGGGGTGTTCAGCCTTTTGCTCTGCGGAAGCTGCCCCGTGACCCGAGCGCCATGGGCTTACATTCGCCTATTCCATCTAGCTGTCCCAAGACCCCAAAATCGCTTCGACACCTCAATCAAGAGGCCCCAAAAAACATGAATCTGCACCTCCCCAACACACAGCAAGGAATCCTACCGGGGCCCAGGCTGGTTGCCGACTTCCGGATTGCTGATCCTCTGGGTGATGACCTGACCTCGCTATCTGCGGAGGTTTCAGACTCTTCGGAGCTCCCAAAAGGCTTCGCGTAAACTAGGGTTGGACATGAAACGCTTTGCGAGAAATGTCTGGCAGAAAGAGGCCCGCGAGTCATGCTGCTTTGGGAGCCAAGGATCAGGGCAAGACTCTCTGACCAGACGACACCCATGACAGGAAGAAGGAGACCAAAGCGAGAAGCCACAATCCCGCAAACCTCGAAGGCACAGCAAGCTCCATGTCTCCAACTTATGTTTGCTGACCAGACGACGACTGAGTAAGGCGCAACGGCTGGCAAGCCCCCCACCTTCGCAAAATCCTTTGGCGGTCTACACCCCCACGTTGTCTTTCGGGATACAGCGTAGGCTGGACGCCGCTGCCAAACCGCAAAACATATCGCAAAGCAAACAACGCGTAAGAAACCCAAAACCATAAGGGCGAAACCGTTCCTTCGTGGTGTGCCGAAAAAAGCGGCGACTAGAAGCTAATGACCCAGAAACCCTTGCTAAATACCCAAACCTTACCTTCGAGTCCAACGGCCCTGAGCACCCAGCTGGCGATTAGAGTCAGTGGGAGGATCAGGTAACGCCCGGTCTCCTCCCTAGCATAGCAAGACTCTCGGAATTGGTTCCGGGTGCAGGGCTTGCCGGCACGCTTTGGTCTCGTGGTGCCACTACCAGGATGTTTTTTTGTTCTGTTAGCAGCCCTTCCATACCTGAGAATCTTGGAGTCTGACGGAAGTCCTGAATTCAAGGCCTACGAAACCCCAGAGGACCGACCGGACTCCTTGAGTCCCGCATGAACACTACAAAGACACCACAACCCTAAAAGCCTCTACACAACAATTCTCCTAAATCCTTGCCCCGAACGCGCTATCGTGGGTTCGTAAATCATGGAGGTGTGTAGGATCAGTAGTAGGATCCCCACCAGCCCAGACTTGGGATGTACTCCGTCTGTGACTGCGAGCTGGTGAGCCACTCCTGCGCTCTTCGAGAGGGCATAGAAAGGGCTTCATGTGTGTTGCGCATGGTTCCATGAGTCCCGTAAAGGTTTCATACGGTGTCGCTCCTCAGAGATGGGATTCAGGACACTTAGGTTGAAAGGTTATCGAGGGCTTTGGGACTTCAGCGGTGGGTGGGGGGCCGGAACGGAGCAGCGTTGATTTCAGGGCTCGTCGGTGCAAGGCCGAACTCCTACAACGCCCTCGGACCTGATCACCAAAAGCATCCAAAGCCGTAAGCCGTCTACATGTCCAAGGCTACTCTGAAGAAGTGCCACAGAATCAAGACAACACGCAAGAAACTTGTTCCCCGGAGCTTCAACCTCTCTGAATTCGACATTGAACCTGAACACATCCAAAGACTTCAACACTGAACCCTGGAGACCCTAGAGACCCCAGGCCCCCCCTGAAGCCAAGAGAACTCCAAGGCCCGGTCCAAGCTGGGGCTACCCGTCACGGGCCCGGCCAGGGAGGGAATCCACAGGAAGGGCTCCTCGCCACCGCGTCTTGGGATGAGACTGCGGAGTTCCGGGCCATGAAAAAAAAGCCGGAAGCTGACATGAAATACAAACACAGTGCATCAAAAGGACCAACCTTGCCTTGAACTTTGGGTTGATCTCCGCCAACTTCAGGATCGATCGGTAAAGGCCGATGAAGATAGGAATCTGGCGCCAACCCGGGCTCTTGCACATCGAGGCTATCTCTCTTTGTATATCAAGTCCAACATGCAAGGGCCAAACAGGCGTAAGACCCTAATAAGTACGAAGCGGGGCACCTGGACCACGGACGGAATGCACCTTTGGCAAGTGCATCGGTGGCCTACCAGATATTAATGAAATACCCAGGGCAGACCTGAGTCTGATGCTACCCTTGTTCACATTTCGCACCTGCTCTTGCGGGGGCACTTACTCAACAGCGTTTCAAACCGAGAATAGCACATGAGAAGATCTGCAACTCTCAACCATGCCTTCTCAAAATACTTTGAGGCATCAAACGGCGTTCCCCCATTTCCCCCCGTCAGCATCAACTCGCACGCATCTTGGTCTTTGAGTCGCTGACCCTCCCAGAGGGTTCACCCCACAGTCGTCGTAGAGACGAAGCAGCATGCGGTTCTGCGTCTCCTGACAGTCGTCTGGGGAAGTGATCGATGCAGGGTGCTTGGCTTCGCGGGTGTGGAATTTGGGCATGTCGTGTCGGCTGGAACGAAGGGCTTCACCTTGTGTTTGGGCATTGAATCCGTAGGGGGGTCAGGAGCTTTGAACCCTCGAGGTTTGGGGAACCATCATCCCTGAATCCATCTGCAGCAGATTTGTCCTTACCGCGACAGGAAAAGAGGCTCCAGCGGGTCCTGGTCACTCTTGTACTTCCGCTGAATCTGCTCCACCTTTGGCCGAATGAGCTGCATGATTGCAGAGGAACCTCGGCCATCGGAATCGGAGCAAGCGGCTCCATTTCTGGCCCCTCGATTCTCAAGCCGAGCCTTCAACCTCGACACTGCAGAAAGACCCCTAAATCCTTTAATACCTCAATCCTTGACACTAAACTTGCTGAAGCTTGAACACTTGACCCGGGGATCCCACACCCACGGACGCGGGGTCGCAAGAGGCTCTGGCACGACAGGAGTAGTTACTCTGTGGCCCGGACGCAGTGATGTCTGGTTCAGGGGAAACGTGAGCAACTGCCCGAGGCTGCCCAAGATCCCAGGATTCAGACCGCAGGGGTGGAAGGGCAGGTGTTCTGCATCAAGAGATCAAGCCCGATGCTATTCGCATCGTTTCATCAAAACCGAAAGGGAAACATGAATTTAAGGTTAGCTCCCTAGGCTTTGCAGAGCCTATACACGTTTACACCACGGCGCCCTCCTCTCCAAAAGATCCAAAGCACTTTCTTTGGCTGATATGTTCTGGCCCAGTCTATTAAGCTCATCGACGACAAAGCCCGGCCTTGATCAAGAGCGTATAGAAAATGATCGCGAAACCTCGCGTCAGGGCACATAGCGGGATCAGGCTCTGGAATTTGACTGGCACGTCGAAACCTTGCAAACTCCAAAATCTGCGACCCTTTAACCCGCTAATCAAAAGTCACGTTGAAACCACCACTGAGGGAAGGGCCGAAGCTGTTTGGAATTTTCAGCTGCTCCTCGACGACCTGGCGGATTGCTGCTACTGCTACTGCCACTGCCACTGCCACTGCCACCACCACCGCCACCGCCACCGCCACTGCCACTGCTACTGCTACTGCTACTGCGACTGCTAGTGCCACCGCTACTGCTACTGCTACTGCTGCTGCCGCTACTACTACTACTGCTACTACTACTACTACGACGACTACTACTACTACTACTACGACGCTGGAGTAGTCATTGCTATAGTAACAATACTATACAGCACAACTCCTATCTTTGTTTGTGCTAGTACCAATACCGGATTTCGTTGTCAGTACCACAAACAGAGTTGACACTTTCGTCTGCTTTTTCGTGCTCCGTGCACCGTGCACAGTGCTCTGAAACCGTAACATCCGAAACGTCGTCAAGCCTGTAAAGCGAGATCCAGCAACTCATAACCCTGGCTCGGCTCGAACCCCTACCTGACATACAACCGTGTATCCGCTTTTCATATCATTCTTCTTCTGTGCCTTTGTTGCTGATGCTGGGTACTGCTTGAACGTGGCAGGGAGGGCTTCCAGCTTCCGAAACCACCCGTGGAGTCGACTTGATGTGTGGGGACACTGCGTCCGCCGTTCCAACTTAGTGCTTCTTCAGGCTTCGTTGTAGAGGGGGGGGTCTGCTTTGTTGGAGGTGCAGCAAGATTAAGGAAGCCTCCACTTGAAGCAGATACTATGTACATCCGCACAAGCCTGATTCTGCTCGAGTTGTCGCCCTTGTCCAGGCTATGCAAAACTAGCACAGAGAAGCCTCGGAGCAATTTCCTAGATCCAACGCTGGCAAACGTGGCTGGCTGCGTTGTCAATTCCGGCAATGATGCCAGCGTTAAACTGGACCAGAGGCTCGAACCTTGGAACCGGGCTTGTCATTTCCATCGGAGTTTCTGTAGCTGTGGTTCATCTGCTCTTTATGGCGACTCCTGTTGTCGTGACCGTCCCTTCCGGGAGCGTGTGACAGATAATCAGAACACTAAGACCTGCTAATTGCTGCAACAGCTCACTCCATGGGCAAGCAGAACAATTAGACAACGAGAGAACCAAAAAAACATGTAAAACTTCTTCTATATCATACCCATTTCCATTCGTGCCATTCCGGCTGTTTCCCCTTGTCTGTCTACATACTTTTGTCCGGCATGATGCATGCACACTGACATATTTACATGTGTGAACTCATACGTCTATGTTCACACATATTTACAACTGTCTAGGCTGAACAACATCAGAAGACAAAATGAATATTAACACCAGTCCTCACTCTAACTTGCAGTATCAACAACAGGACGATAACAGTTCATCAACACGAAAGCAGAATACTCCATCTTTCATGCGCACACGAATGAATTCAAAGACAAACACTGCACAGTTGATTATAGCCATCTGCAAACCATGTGTAAGGCTGTTGGCTTGCAGCTCGGGGCCACACAGATCCCCACCGCTGTTGGCAACAGTGCCAACGACCTGTGGTCGAAGGTTCACGGCTTCAATCTATAGGCCTATGGAACAGGGGATGTGCATCTAGAGCGCTGGATATTTGAAGCTGCTAGACAATGCCCAGAATCCCAACAACGCCAGACCCTGGAAAGCTGAAAGCAAGCATCACAGGAGATGCCCGGAGCCGGCTAAGGCGCCTCTTCGGCGTCATCCGCGCCTGGAGCCCAGGCATTCAAGATCCCGGTCTCTAGCGACGTGGGGAAATATTCTCCAGAATTTTCCAGAACCTCTTGCGACCCCTCGAAACAGGCCCCTTGGGAGTTCGTAAACTCGGCTTCTTCGATGCGAGCCATGGCAGGTACCTCGGAAGCTGAAAGCCTTCCTCGAGATAATCATACCATAAGTGCGTGCCTTGTTAAAACTTTCGTGTGTATGCATATATATATATATATATATATATACATATATATATATATATATACATTGTATATTTATTTATTCACATTTACTTGCATATATTCAATTGTGTGTTTATTTGTTTGTTTGCTAATATCTTTTATATACACATATATATATATATATATACATACATATACAATACGGATCCTCGTATTTAGGGTCGGTTTTGAACGGTCCACTGTTTATCTTCAAGGGTTGCAACGGCCTGCATCGGCAGCGGCGTCGGCCACGGCAGAGGCTGCCTGGCCAATCAACAGGTGGGCGACATGTGTAAATTGCAAGCTAATCTCATCTGATCTAACCTAAAACACAACATAACATTTTATAACATAGTCTAACAAACACAAATACAGTATGAACCCTTTCCTCCAAGGCAATCCTCATCGAACCTCGTACTTTGCCTCCTCACTCAGCCACAAAACTGCCCCCAAACCCTTAACTGCCCTAAATCGAGCTAAATCCCCAATGTGTCCCACCTCCTGAACGTCCTGTGCGAGGGCGGGGTTCGCGGCCATGACCTTGCTCGGGCTTTAGTATTTGATAAGCGTGTAGGGAGTTAGGCGGCAATTGAGCTTTCTTGTGGTGAGCTTTACAAGGTTGCAGGCCCGGACATGCTCAAAGTCTGAGAGCTCCAGGCGATTTTCTGGCGACGGAAAGGCTTCAGGCCGTGAAAATCACGCATCAAGGAAGTGATCATTCCTCTCCTGTACCCTTGCTGCAAGTGGGTTCTTCTAAGTTTGGCACCGCAGCTGCTGCAGCAGCCAGGAAGCCTGCAGCCTAGCACGGAAGCGCAAGCAAGGCCTGGGTTTTGGAGCTTACAGATGGTAGTCGCAGCCTACGACTTTCGGCGCTTTCTTCGCTGTTGTATTCAGGCCACATGATGAAGGTGTTGAGTTTGCACTTTGAAGTTCGGACCGTTGAAGAGTTGGTGCTGGACACAGCAAGCCAGAAAGTCGTTTTTACAGAAGTCTCTCTGATCTGTTCTTACACAAGCATTGATTTCCAATCCGCACTGAGCTCGGAAGTCTTTGACAGATCGGCCAAAGAAAGATCATCTGGACGCCAGAACACAAAGCCCCAAAGAGCAGCCCCGAAGGGAGAAAGTTCCCTCCGGCGTTCACCCAGAATCTCACTGTAAGCTTCAGCTCGAAGTATCCGGCCATCACCATGTTCTGCCGGCCCTTGGGCTCCTCGGCTGGGCCGACCTGAGGGTTTCCGAATCTTCGACAAAAGTTCGTACTGGCAGTGGCAGCAGCAGCAACAGTAGCAGCTTTAGCCGCAGCTGCAGCAGTGGTAATCGTAAGCTTGAGCAGAGGGCCAGTGGAACCGAATTCGACAGCTTCTGCTGAGACAGAGAAAATCGCAATTGACGGATCCTCTCGTCTCGTTTCAAGGTCTTATCGGACATGACCCGGGCATGGTGAGCAAACTTTGGCTGCTGTTATGGACGCACACTCATGCGTGGTCAACGCAGCACATGGGAGCAGAAAGTTGAGCTGGCCTGTGGCCTCTGCTCCGGCTTGTCGGAGACCATCTCTTTGGCAACCTCTGCGTGCTCCTCCGAGCGGGCTTCAGGGTCAGCCGCTTTCAGCTTGAGTGTGCACGGCTCTGGTTTTCTTTCCAACGCCTTTTCCCGTGCATTTCACGGACTTAAGGGCTTAAGGGCTCAGGATGAGAGATGCTTGCGGATTACTCATGCAGTCTACAGATCCAGTTGCAAAGTCGCATCAATTGGCCAATTAGCGAGTCTGATGGGTTCAGCTCTTGGAGGGCCGTTCGACGTGGGTTAAAACTTTGGGCTTGATATTTGGAAGACGGAAGGGCTGTGCTTTAGCTTTGAGCCGCGACCTCCTGGAGACTGCTAGGCTGCGAATCTTCTGGTGCCCGCATGAAACCCAGACTCCGACCTGGGTGGTGGCTTTCGCCGCCAAAACGATCTTGCTGGGCGCCACCATCTTGCCCTTGGCACACAGCATTTAGGGCTTCAGAGTTTGAACGCATTTTGTGGTCTAGAAGTATTTAGGGCCTCATGGCATCTCATGGCTTCAAGGGTTTCCCGACCACAAACGGAGGGGAAGAGGGAACTGAAGCGACTGTCGAACCCGGAACTTGATAAGTGTCGTCGGCGCTTGAGAGCTGGCTGCCAGAGAGGCTGTAATTACTCTGTTCATACAGCTGTCCCACTACTCGAATCACCCAGTTACCTCCTGTTGTCGCGAGGTCCACTGGTCTCCCCATGGCAGCCCATTGCATTGATCTTCGAAGCTTCGAGGGCAGCTTGCGGCTTCACAGAATCCGAGTAGAAGCTTTAACCCACCTTGAGAAGCGGATAGTCGTGAAGGCTGGGCCGTGCACCCGCATCGCCACTGCCGCCATGCGTGTTTCCACAGGCCGCCTGAAACGAGCTTCTGGACTTCTGGCGGCTGCGGGCCAAACCGGAAGGCAGGACCGGACGGACTTTGCCATTCTGAAACAACTTGCTTCGATTCCTGCTGCGAAGGAAGCGGAAGCTGAGTGTGGGTGGCTTCACATTTCATAAAGAACGGCACGCTTGATCAAACTCCACCGGCACCTGCACTTGCTGCCTTCCTATGTTTCTCTCCGTCTCTCTGTTTTTCTTTCTTTCTGCCGGGCTTAGGGGTCACGCATGACCTTGACCTATCTCTCTCTCTCTCTCTCTCTCGCTCTCCCTAGCACAGTCAAGAGAACACGAGTAGCCCTCGAAATCCCCACACGTTCGGTCTGGTGAAAAACTGACCTGTTCTGCGTGCAATGCAGCCTGAGACCCACAACAGGCCTCTTCCCCTGCTTTGGGCGAAGACTCTTTCGGTCTTTCTTTCGCCAGGGTTGTGGTGACGGGGTTTCCCCCCTCTTTCGGTCTTCTTCAGCACAGTCGGAGGGGCAACGCGTCCACGCTACCCCTCGCGCGATATCGCGCACTGGGGTGTGTACAGGAACAAGAGAAAGGCCGAGATTCGCACTGGACCGACTCACAGGCCCCCCAACCACAACACCCGTAACACTAAACCCCAACCCGCCTCGAAGGCTGAAAGAGTCTTGCTTGCTTGCTTGCTGCGGGGGCAGAGTCTGCGCGAGCAGACCCGGGCCGAGGCCCCCCCCTTCCTACCTTTTCGGTGGAAGGAGGCATTGGGGTCCATGGTAGGGCGTTGTCCCCCTATGGTCTGTGTTACAGGTGGGGTGCGCTTGGTGCAGAACCCCCCCCCAAACCCTGTACGCCTATCCTGCGTCCCGGCCTCGTCTCCGCGCCTCCTAAGGCAAAATCCTTAGTGCCTGCACCATGCGCATTTCCCCCCGTAACCTCGTGCTAGAGAGCAGCCCCCTTCTTGCTTGTACTATGCAACAACGGCTGAAAGAGTCTCTCTCTCTCTCTCTCTCTCTCTTGTTTGCTGGCTGCCGGCGTTAGTCTCTGCGTCTCTTGCTCTGGGTGCCAGGTCCTCTTCAAAGGGCTGGTCCTATAATCAAGTGGGCGCCATCATCCATGCGCATCAATCTTCCAAAGTCGCTTATCTGACCCGTGCATCCCGCTGGGCGGCCACCTCTTCGACACGACACCCACCACCAAAGCTGCGGCGGCGGCGACCATTGCCGACGAAGAGCCTGGAAGATGGTATCATGGCGCGACAGGATTTGAGACCTGCTATAGTTCATGCTCCGCCTGCGGCCCACGACTTGCTTTCTGGAGACAGATCATACAAGCACCGTCCGTCCCGAGTGAAACTCGAAACCCGGTGAAACTCGGGAAGCTCCCGGGCTCTCAGGCTTGCGCCCCTCACTATACAAGTACATGCACATAAAAAATACCATGCCGACCAAACCGAGATATCATTTTATGTGATGCTGTGCTGCCATACCGAATAATGTCACATGTATACTTGTTGTCTAGTGTCCTCATACAGTATTCATATAGTAACTTGCAGTCACACACACACACACACACACAAGACTGCATGCAACCGTACAGCAAGAGAACAAAAAGCAAGCACCAGGACCAGGAGCAGGAGCAGGAGCAACAGCAGTAGCAGTAGTAGCAGTAAATAGGAGCAGTAGCTCAGCCTCGAGTCTTGCCTTCCTAGTCAGCCCGCCTCGCTCTCGAAGCTCCGGTGCCAGTCGTTCCGGCTTCGAGGCGAGCCTCCAGGCTCAGAAATAATGGGGCTCAGGGCTGAGGCTTTAGGGCTTTGGAAAGTAGAGATGAGGGAAGAGGACTCGCGATTTGTGCCAACGAAAAAACTTCAAACATCCTTCGGAATCTTCAAACGAATTGAACAACGCACCAGAAAACGTTCTTTCACACGTGGTGTCAAGTTGCCTGGCAACAGGAGCCACTTGCGGCACCGCCCCGATGGCGAAGGCCTTGCTACCAGGGGCTTGCTGTGGTGGCTGGGCTCCAATTATGCTACTGGGCAGCTGCTGGAAAAGGCTTCCTGTGCAAAATGGTCAGGGTTTCCACCTCGAGGTTTTCGGCTCGTAGGATACTCTTGTCGAATCAAAGAGAAGGAAACTTCGCTTCAAAGGCTCCACAGTCTCGTATGCTAAAACCGATAGCTCAACCAGGCATTGGCGTTCCCAGGAAACGCGCGCCTCGGTAAAGAGAGCCATGGCAACTACACGAACGCGGCTTGATCAGGAAGTCCGAAAAACCCAAACACGACGTAACCGGAATTTGCGGGTCTTGGCCCCTGAAAACAGAATGTGGTACGCACACCGCTGGCTTGAGCGAAGCCGAAACGGCGACACAGAGGCGGCATCAAGCTAGATTCTAGATGTCGAAGGTGCCACGGTCCTCAGCTCAGAAACATGCACAGTCTTTTGCGCCGCCATCGGAATCTCCAATGCGGGCACAAGCGTTAACTCCAATCCGCTATGGAAAAAGGCACAAGCAGCGCGGTTGTGATGCTCACAACAGGGAACCCACAAGCTTCAACCCCATCCTGACACCCCGAGTCCTTCTGAAGGCGAACCGTCGTTTATGGATTCGTGGCTGACTTCGTGGTCGTTTTCAAAAAGCCATCGATGCTCGTGGGTGGTTGCCACACAAAGGAGTATGAGGACATCAAAACATGCTAGCCCGTTATTGATTGTGGTAGGATGACATACAACCAACAAGGCTAAAGTCGGTAAGCAGGTACGTACTCCGCCACGACGCAAGGCAAATGCCGAAGACGCCCGGGAACGTCTCAGACTGTGGCGTTGTGCGGGGTTTAATTAGAAGTCTTCTACAAGTGGGCTTTGGCTCTGCCCATGTCGACCTTCAGAAAGCTCTCTGGGATGGCAGGCCCGGCCCCTCACTTAAGCAGCACAACCATAGCACTGACCTCGGCAGACAAGTCACTCGGACGGCGCTGGCTTCTTTTTGGATCCTCGTTCCAGGCCAGGCTTGATGTCGCCCGATTGATGCGTCTGCGTTTGCATGTGCACGCGTGTGTGCGTGCGTGTGTGGGTGTGGTTTTGGGTGTGGGTCCGGTGTGGGTTTAGGTGTCCGTTCGAGCGGGATCGAGAGCGGGCACGCGCGAGCGTGCACGCAAGCCTGCGAGAGTGCAAGCGTGCGAGATCGAGCGAGCGTGCGTGCGCTTCTTACTCCGCAACCCGAGAACCTGCACCAAGAACTCCTCCAGTGCGCGGCTGGAACCCTTGCCGCTTGGTTTTATGTAGCCAGTTCTGGCGGCAATATTCGTCGACAGAGAAGCCATGGCAGTGACTGGAGTCGATGATGCTGGTGCAGCGTGCGATACAAGTAGAAGTAGTCTGACTGTCGATTGCCATACATGCAACACTGGCTATCATGGTCTCAGGCACTAGCAATGGTAGCTGCTAAAGGCTGGTCGTAGTCCTTGTGTATGCAGAACCCGTATGATGGACACGGCAATTGCGACTTCACGGTCGTCGATAGCAGAACTCATGCTAGCTCTACTCGCGAGTTGTCGGGCAGTATTACTAGCAACAGCACCACCAATGAAGACGGAGAAGAACTGCGATAGTAGCGGCTATGGCAAGGAATGCAGGAGTCGCGATAAATGAAACGGCGTACTGCAAAATGGGCAGTACATTGCCATGACACCTCCAAGCCACCATCATTTTCTCATCATCATGATGACCACCGTCATCAACGTCCCTGAAGGCTGGGTCCTGGGCATTATCCCCGCCACGACCGGCAGTCGATGCCTCAAGGATTCGGATCGATTCTTTGTTTAGTGCGTACGGCTTACGGCTGCTTTGGTATGTCGTTTGGAAGGAATGGGCTCCGGGGCTAGCAGCTGAAGACCTGTGCTGGGATGTTGCAGGAGCCCATGATGTCCTCGCAAAGGGTTTTTGTTCCGGTTTGTCAAGACTGGGCCTCTCAATTTCTTAGTCGTTCGTTTCCAGACCTGTGGTCGTTATAGAGGAGTTCTCCTGAAGAGTTGAAAGTGAAGCATGCGCAGATTGTAAGTTCTGCAGGTTTCAAACGAAGCTCGAGGGTTTCTTGGGTGCTTCGCTGCAACGATGCTGGTTGGGAAAACAGGCGAGGCGAACAAGTGGCGGGCTCTTGCTGGTTGGTCGCTTGTTCGCTTGTCGCAGAGGCCATGCAACAGGCAAGCCTGAGTGTGGACGAATACTGATCAAAACTTCACACAGGCTGCTTCGGGCTCTATTCCTGACGATGCCTTAAACGATTTTGTGCAGCACACCAAGACCAAATGCCACCAGCCTGTCACCATCCAGACCGCCACAGTCACGCTCACACTCATTCCCACCATTCTTACCTCTCCAGACGTAGCACTCGCACTTGTGCGAGCACTGCAGCACTCCTACTCCTGCCCCTGCTACTGCTGCTACTGCTGCTGCTGCTCCTACTAGCAATACTTATTACCACCACCACCACCACCATCACCACCACCATCACCACCACCACCACCACCGCCGCAACCACCACCACAACGGCAACGGCAACAGCAACATCAGCAGCTGCTGCCGGTGCTCATTCTACTTCTGAT